TGGCACTCCCCCATTGTTTACACTCAAATCTTTACCTTTTCCTAAGCGAACTCAATTTTTTCCTGTCGTTTCCCGGTATGCCTTTTTTCTCCCTCTTTCTTGCATTACTTTGCTCATTGACTTGCTTGGCTCTGTCTGATTCCTGCGCTTGTATGACTCAGTAATCTGTCTTGCTTTTTTTCGGTGTTTTTAATTACCTGTAATTTCCCGAGATTTGTTTATATATTTTCAAATCAAAGTTTGAATTTTTCTGGGGTTCTTCCCATATGAATGATCGGTTTTTTGCTGCTTGTTCCTTTTTTTTTCCTTCTTCAAATATTTATCATTACTCCTTATAATTCTTTTTTATTTTTTGATGTGTGGACAAATCTGAAGAAGAATTTGTCAGATTTATGTGTGAAAGTCAATCCTTTTTAGTATGAATCATGTGGCATGTTTTAGATCTGCTTTTAATTATAAATGATTATATTCTTTTGCAGACTTGTGTTTTTGTTACTGAAAGATCAGAATTAGAATTTCAGCTCCCTGAGATTATGTTTTATACAATGTGGATGCAGATGAGCTATGTAACCTGCTGGGGCTTTTCTTTTTGTGGGTGCTAAAAGATGCCCGGAGTGGTTATGGATGAAACTTTTGAAGGCAGGGAGGATTATGAAGTCAAGGAGATCAGGAGTTATGCTATTCACATTGACAATTTGGTTGCCAATGGGTCTCCAAGAAGGAAGGATATTGATAATGCGGCATCTCAGAGCGCTCAGAAAGTGGATACGGTGTATATGACAAATGGGGTGGCCGAGCCATCCATTGAAGAGCTCTATGAGAATGTGTGTGAGATGCAGAGTTCTGATCATTCACCATCAAGGCTAAGTTACGGGTCTGATGGTGATGAGTCAAGAATAGATTCAGAGTTGCGCCATCTTGTAGGAGGAGGGGAAATGAGGGAAGTGGAGATAATGGAGGAGGACGAGGAGGTGGGGAGGCTGGAGCATGATCATGATGGTGATGATTCTCTTAGTGATTATACCTCTAGAATGGGCGGCGCTTCGGCTGCAAAGTTGGACAATTCTGAATCCGCAACTTCCAAAAGCCCTCCATCTGGAAAACTGAAGAAAGCAACTGCAAAGTCAACTCAAACAGGCAAAATCCCTTCTGCAGATCAGCAGGGCGAAAGAAGAAAACAAGATAGTGAGGTTGCCCCTTTGAGTAAACAGAAAGTTTCATCTGTAACGCGGGGGTTGAGAGCGCGGAATGTGAAGGAGGACAAACCTGATTCACGTTTCGAAGACCCTAATCTTGGACCATTCCTTCTGAAGCAAGCAAGGGATGTGTTTTCATCTGGGGATAACCCAAACAGAGCTCTTGATTTAGCTCTTCGAGCTGGCAAAGCATTTGAGAGATGTGTTGATGGGAAACCCAGCTTGGATATGGTCATGTGTTTGCATGTCACAGCATCCATTTATTGTAATCTAGGCCGGTATGCTGATGCCATTCCCGTGCTGGAACGCTCCATTGAGATTCCGGTAGTGAATGAGGAAGGCCAAAATCATGCCCTCGCCAAATTTGCTGGATATATGCAGTTGGGTGATACACATGCTATGTTGGGTCAACTTGAGAAGTCTATTCTTTGCTACAGCACAGGCTTGGGGATCCAAATACAAGCTCTGGGCGATAAGGATCCAGCAGTCCGTGAAACGTGCAGGTATCTGGCTGAAGCTCATGTTCAGGCACTGCAGTTTGATGAGGCTAAGGAACTTTGCCAGATGGCTCTGAACATGCACAAAGGTGATGGTTTGCCTTCTTCCCTCGAAGAGGCAGCAGATAGGAGGCTGATGGCATTAATTTGTGAGTCAAAGGGAGATCACGAAACTGCCCTTGAACATCTTGTTTTGGCAAGCATGGCCATGGTGGCTGCCAATGGTCCCGAAGCAGATGTGGCATCTGTTGATTGTAGCATTGGGGAGGCATATCTCTCGCTAAACCGCTATGATGAAGCCAGTTGTGCTTACGAAAAGGCTCTGGCGGCTCTCAAATCCAGCAAAGGAGAAACCCATCCCTCCGTTGCTTCAGTTTTTGTCCGTCTGGCTGACTTGTGCAACAGGACAGGCAAACTGCGAGAATCAAAGTCGTATTGCGAAAATGCCCTTAGAATTTATGGAAAATCTTTGCCAGGTGTTGCTCCGGAAGAGATTGCCAGTGGTCTTACCGACGTTTCTGCCATTTATGAATCCATGAATGAGCTTGAAAATGCAGTGAAGTTGCTGGACAGGGCTTTAAAGATTTACAACGACTCCCCTGGGCAGCAGAGTACTATTGCTGGCATTGAGGCCCAGATGGGGGTGATCTATTACATGTTGGGGAGATACGCAGACTCCTACGACTCATTCAAAAGCAGCATATCAAAGCTTCGCGCAAGTGGAGAAAAGAAATCTGTCTTCTTTGGAATTGCTCTCAACCAAATGGGGCTTGCTTGCGTACAACGCTATGCCATACATGAAGCTCTAGATTTGTTTGAAGAAGCAAGGGCCATTTTGGAGCAAGAATGTGGGCCTCATCATCCAGACACGTTAGGGGTGTGTAGCAATCTTGCAGGCACATATGATGCGGTTGGCAGGTAATGAGAACAAGACTAAAGTAGGAGTAAAACATTGAAAACATACCAAAATAGGAGTTCTATATTTTTATTCTTGAAATAGGTGTTAGAATGCATATATAGTGTCAATCATGACCATATACATTACCAAAAACTATTGTGAAATGTCCATATATAGTGCCACATTACCAGAGTGCGAACTCCTATTTTGGAGATAAAAACATGGAGCTCCTATTTTGGTACTTTTTCTATGTTTTACTCCTCTTTAGGGTGATTTCTTATGCATTAATTTGGCTTCACACATAATTTACGCGATTTTGTTTTCTCCAAATGCTTCAGCTGCCAAATTTGTCGTTGTATGTACAGGTTGGATGATGCAATAGAAATACTGGAATTCATTGTCGGGATTCGAGAGGAAAAGTTAGGAACTGCGAATCCAGAAGTGGATGATGAAAAGAAGAGGTTGGGTGAGCTATTGAAGGAGGCTGGTAGGGCGCGAAATAGGAAAGCAAGATCACTTGAGAATCTGCTTGGTGTCGATCATCATTGTCCCAACACTGCCACCAATAACAATGGCATCAAGGTTTGATCGATCCCTATGCGCGTGCTCTTCTCCTCGTACATTTTTCACTCTGTCAAGAAAACATTAGTACAAAACAGAAATTGATATTACTCCAAAGTTTCTTGTGTTTCCGTATATCAAATTCACGAAAGTACTCTTACACTCTGTAGTCATTGTAAAAAAAAAAAGAAAGTCGATTGTTTTTTATTTACGCGTTCGTCTTTTTTATACTCCTTGTACTTGTCTATGAATGAGCTGAATCATCAATGTCTTAAGCAGCTTAAGTAGTGTAGCTTTGGGAGGAAACAAATCAGTGGCTTCTGGGTTTTAAAGGCTTTATAACTCCATTGTATCATTGGTTATGAGCAAAAGAGCTGACAGGAAACAAAAAAAATTAATAGGATCAAAGTGGTCCTGGACACACCAGTTTTTGGTGAGTTTTAAAACATTGTTTAGTTTTAGATGTAGGACTGGGGTTGGTTTGACTAATCTTAAAAATACAAATCTATATACATATACATGATATACATCAATCAAATATCATACTTTACATTATTCTTTAAAATTTTATAAATACAAATTACGGAGTATAAATATAACTCTTCCCAGATTCCCATGACATTGCCCGGCAATGTCATGGGATGACCCAGGGGTGCTCCGGTGTCCCGTTCGTAAAATTGACAGTTCTTACCGGTAAACCCCCCCACCCCGCTCCGACCCGAACACACCCCCCAACCCTTCAATTGCACCCCACAAGTTGATTTTGACTTTGGAGTCAAAATTTGACTTCAAAGTCAAAATCAACTTGTGGGGTGCAATTGAAGGGGTGAGGGGGTGTGTTCGGGGCGGGGTGGGGTCTATAATATTAAAATTTTTATTATTCATCTTTCTATTTCGTAGTGTCAAATAACAAAAAATGGAGTATAAATATAACTCTTTCTATGATATTAAATTTTTTTTGATAACATTCTTTTAGGATTGCAGAATAGATTAATGATGTTTTTTGGACCAACGCCCAACAAATTAAAAAAAAATCTTTTTATTATTGAATTTAAAAAGAGTAACTTTTTTATGACATCTAATTAAAGAGTACTTCTTGCATCCTAAAACTAACTTTTGGTTTCAGTTTAGGAAGGTTTAACCAAAAATATTTTCAATTCAATTTAATTGATTATAAGTGTAAAATTTAAAAATAAAAATTATTCGAATGTTTTTAAAAATCACATCAAAAGTTCCAGGAAAGTAGAAGTGACATGATTAAGTATATTAGTTTATCAAATAATGACTGATTAAGATAGACAATGAAAGTAAATAAAGTCTGATCGTGTTAATAGTAATCATAAGATAGTTTTAGAACATAGGGAGTAACTTTTTTCGAAGTTCTAAATATGTCTGTATTTTCTTTTTTATGATCTATAAAATTATGTTTTTATACCTTTTTATTGTTCCATTTCGATCCTTTCCCTATTAAGTTTCTCTTTATTTTATTTTCGTTTGATATTCTTCATTTTCTTTTTTAAGTGTCTCAAGAAGTTTTTCTTTTTACCTTAGAAAACATAGTCGACGGAAAAATAAACCAAAAATAGTCGGAATGGGTGTCTATGCGATGTTTTGGAACCATATAGAGATCATAAAAAAACTCTTAAAAAGAAGAAGAATTGGTGCATATTCTCAAAACTACAGGATGCACTAGATATATTTGGCCGTAAAACTTAATCCATATATCATATGGGGGTGACATAGTTGAATTCCCTACATTGGAGTACAATGACAATGCTATAAAAGTGTGATGAAAGTTCCAATAGAAAAATAAAGAAAATAATACTCCGTATTAGATAGTAATAAAAAAGCTATATCGGGCAGCAAATGAAAGTGTTTAGGCGATTTATTATGCCAGTGTAGGCCTATATTGTTTTAGAAGACTAGCACTATTATTTTGATATTTTCATATTTTTTTAAATGCGCCTATTTATAAATTTTACATTTTATTTTGCATTGTAAAAATATTCAAAATCACTTGCATGCTAAAGATTTTCTTTGAAAATAGTGCTTTCGCGTAAATTAAACGAAGTTACTTAATAACTTTTGTAAATTGCTAACGATACCCTAAAGTCTAAAATGGTTTTCACATCCAAAAACCACAACAACAAAAAGATGAGAAATCTTGAATGTAAAATCTCTCACAAACTGATTTCATCAATTAAATGCCTAAATTCATACGAGTACGTGCAAACCAAATCTTGAATGTATAACATTTATCGCTTCATAAAACAAAAATGTAACGATTAATGAAAATTAATTAATTCAAGTAGAACTAGAAGCGAAGTACGCCGACATAAGGTTTGACGGCGGAGCCCAAATAGAATCTGCCGTTATGCTCTTCCACCTCACTGACGGAGCTCAAGCGGTCACTGCCGTGGCCGTCAAGAAACTGCAGAATCCGTCCGTCCTCCGCAAACTTGATCCCGATCGTATCTCTAACGCCGTCACCCCCGGCGGCAAACGTCTCGTCCCTCAGCTCCGACCTCCCGCTGTTCAGAGCCACCCAAAACTCCCCCTTCCGGTTCCTCTTCACGTTATCCGGCGCCCTTATCAGCTGAGCAAACAACTCCGGCGGCGCCGCACCGCTGAGCCGGAGCTTGTACAGCCTCCGCGTCCCGCCTTCCGCCACAATAAGGAACGATCCGTCTCTGCTCAGAGCGATTCCGTTGGGAAAAGCCAATCCCCGGTGCAACACCCTCACGCGCCTATCCCGCGCGTGGTACGCCAACACCCTCCCCGTTCTCTCTCCTCTGTTGAACGACATGAGATATTCCCTGCGCTGGAAAACCGCGCTGCTGTCGGTGAAATACACGACCCCGGTTTTCTCGTCGATGTCCAAACCGTTGGTCAGCCTGAACCGGATTCCCTCGGCCGAGTCGGCCAGATGCTCGGCGACTCCGCCTTCGGGCCCCACCCTCAGGAGGCCGAAGTAAGCGTCAGCGATGTAGAGATCGCAGGTGGCGCGGTTGAACTTGAGCCCCAGCGGCCTCCCGCAGACAGGTTCGGAGTTTGGGTCGGTGGTGCCGTCGCAGAGGGCCCTGTTCCGGTTCGGGAGAGGGATGGAGAACTCGGACCAGCCGCGGGACCGGCCGTTCCACTTGAGGACTCTGCCGTCGGAGACGCCGACGTAGGGCCCGGCGCCGTTGCAGTCGAATGCTATGCTCTCGGGGCCGAGGCCGCCGGGGAGTGGGATCTCGCCGTATCTCCGGCTAGGGTTAGGGCCGTCGCCGGCGGCGATGGGGAGGAGGAGCAAGAAAAGGGAAAAGAGAAATAGAGGGCGGAACAACGCCACCGCCATAGCCATAGTCTTCTTCTTCATCATCATGATCGTTTTGATGATTAATTTAATTTGCAAGAAAACTTTGTTTATGGAACTCCAGAGCTTGTACTGTGATAAGCAATAATTGGACTACGATGAATATGTATATATAGGCCTCGTTAGTTAATCCTAACACTCCATGGACGGACGCCGACTTGGTTTCTTGGTGCCCAAGTTAATTGCTTCCCCCTCTAATTAATTTTTGGGCAGATCACTAATCCTATCTAAGTCCCGAGTATTTTTCGCAACTACATACGGAGTACAAATCCGAATATATATTAAATGTCATTAATGCTCAAATATACTCCGATCCCTTCGCTCTTTAAAATATCATTTCCTCTCCATCAATTGATATATTATCTTTCAAATTATTTCGATTTACTGTTAATCTATTTATCAAATCACCATATTTTAATTTTACTTATCACAAGGTAAATTGAAACATGATGGTATGAAAATTTTATTTAGTTAATACTTAATATGTATATTTAGTATAATTATATTTATTTTAAAATGTTATTTTAATTTATCAAATTTTTATGTTATTTATTTATGTATAAATATATACGGAGTACCATATAATTATTAAGGGTTTAAGTGTCACATTCGTAACCCTAAAATTAAAATCAAAAGTTTGCTTTTTTTTAGAATTATCACTAGCTATTTTATACTTTATATCGGAGCTACTTGAACAATATGACTTTGTAATCTAAGGGGGTGTATTTAATTTAGATTTTAAAATATTTTGAAAGATTTCTTAAAATTCATGGATTATGTAAAATCTATTAATTGTTTTAATTCTACACAGAATTAGATAGATTGTAATGTATTTTATCGATAGGATTTTAAGGGATCGGATTTTGTCTGATTTGTTAAAAAAAAACTTTTCCCAAATTGAAAAGAAGATAGATCCCTTCAGTCACTGCACTAAGAGCTCGACACTTTTCGCTGAGAAAAAGTTTCCACAGAGCTTCATCCTCTACCTACCTCACCCTCACACTCTCTCTTATTTGTTCTATTTACAAAAATAATACTCCTCCGTCCCAAAAAGTTTTACACATTTTGACTAAAGTGGAAATTAAGGGATGGATAATTTTGTGTTGACTTTCCAAAAATAACCTTGATTTGATGTGATGTGTAGATTATAAGGAAAAAGGTATGATTGATAGGTAGGGTTTGAAAAAGTAAGGGATAAAAGTAATTTTTTAATAGAAATGGGTAGGAGCAACGCTGCCAGAGCAGATGCCAAGGTCACAAATCTCAGTAGTGAAGGGGTGAGCAAAGTCGGTTAAAATCCTTTGTTGTTGCAAGAGATTTTTGAGACGATTTTTGCAGAGAAAAACAACAGCCAGATCCATCAAAATCTACATATAATAAAAATCTTTCAAAATCTATGAATTGTTTAATACCATCATATTTTAATAGATATTTTAAAATCTAAATCGAATATCTTCAGATTTTAAGTAACTTTCTAAAATCTCAATTGAATACTTACAGACATTTTCAATCCAATAAAATCCTATAAAGTCTGGATTGAATACACCCCCTAAATATACGACGGGAACTTAGGTCAAATGGATTTATTTCTAAAATCCTTATGATTTCAAACTGTTGCATACACATCCTTAGAGACTATTTTCCGTTCACTTTAATTTCCAACGAACAAGGGGCATTGTTATTTATTTTCCAACCACAAGAGTATCAAAGCCCGTGTCCTATTTTTCATTTATTTTATAATTTCTTTTTAAACATAATTTTTTATAATGTTTTTAAATTTCTAATTTCTTTTTGTTTGAAATAAAAAAGAAATAAAAAAATAAATTTGTATACTTCATCTATCTTAAGTTTAATCATTTTCTTGTTTTCAAAAATAAAAAGAAAAAATGGAAATAAAATAAAAGACAAAAATGAAAAAAGAATCTAAAAAAGAAAAAAATACAAAAAAAAACACTTATTGAAAAGGTTAAAGTATTCATAAAGTATGCTCCTACATTGTTCCTTTTTTGGGAACCAAAAATTAATTTTTTTAGCTAGATTACATTCTTTCAAGATTATAATTACTTTTATGCTAACATGTAATTTTATTTTTATTTAACTGATGAGCGAGAATTGATATAGAAAGATCAGAGGTTCTAACCAACTGAGAGATAAAGAGTACATTGATATAGAAATATTATTAGTAGAGAAAGCTCCGACCTAAAGAACATAAAGAGAATAATAAAAACTTGAGTAAATTCCATAATTGGTTCTTTATAACAGGAGGATTTCTCTATTTAGTCTTCTATTATCAAATATTACTCAAGTGGTCCTTCTTTTATGGGAATCTTTCCACAAATAGTCTTTTTTTGATCTTCTATCATGCTGGAGTTAATTTGAGGCTAAAAGTGTAATTTCACAATGATAATATATCTTTTTTGTCATACACAATTCTAAAGGTGATTCCGTTTGCGTCGTTTGTGAATTATATTCGCTTTATATTACAACCATAGTCTACAAATGTGGTCTTCCGTCAGAATCCTAGCCCACAATCATAGTCATTATTTTTGTATTATCCGCTTAACCAATATCAGAACATGTCACTAGGCATCATGTTGATGTCAAATTATACTTTTAGTCTTTAAATTAACACCTGCATGACAGAAGATAAAAAAAAGGACCATTTGTAGAAAGACACCCTTAAAAAAGGACTACGAGGGTAATATTTGATAATAGAGAACTAAATATGGAAACCTCCATATTATAAAGAACCAATTAAAGAACCAATTATGGATTGGCATCTTAAAAAGAACAATCCGGCATCTTCATTTAAGTTAATTCTCTTTCTAGAGAATGGATTGGCATTGACAAAAAGAATTGTGACTATTTTGAGTGGGTTTTTACCCAATTTTCACTTGATACACCCTTTCGTGTTCTTTTCTTTGACCTTTAACTTACAAAATTGTGAGCTTGCCTATTGGACTTAAGGACACTCTAGTCCACAAACTCATGATTCCATCAAATAATAATAACAAGAGTTCATGCTGTCAAGAGAAAGTGGATGCAAGAAAGAAAAGCATCATATTTTGTTCTAAAGAACTCATGCAGTCATGTACGGAATGTTGTTTCAGTGGTCGAGTAACTTAAGGAGGAAGTTATGATTGATTCTTACCAAGTGCCTTGAAGAGACTAGATTTTATATCATATCTTGGTTAGGTCATCTAAGTGGATGGAGTTGCAAATGGATGTTATGCAACATATTAGAGTGGTTTGGGCTAAACGATAAACGATAGTTTGCTTCGGGGGTTCTATGCGACAAGAAATTTTTTGTTAAGATGAAAAGAAGACGTTATTAATTTGTAGTCGGACCAGCTATGTTGTATAATACAGAGTGCTAAGCGGTTAAGAAAATCGATGTTCATCAACTCTATGTTGTAGTGATACAGATGCAATGGTGGATGTATGGATAACAAGTTTAGATATGATTCAAAACGTGAATATATGAGTACGCGTAAGAGTGACACTTGTGGAGGATACATTGTTGGAAGCAAGATTGAGATGGTTTGAACATGTGAGTTGACGGAGTGTTGGGCCACAATGTAAAGGTGTGAGAGACTTATATGGTAGGTGAAAATAAATAAAGGGATAGACCTAAACAAAATTGGAAGGAAATCAGTATTTTAGGTTCTTACCGACGATATAACCTTAGATAAGATAAAGCATTCGGAAGCTAAGATTATTATAATTCCTAGGCTTTTGGGATTGGTGGTAGTCTATGCACTTGTATTCGAAGTACTTTTCATGCTTCCTTCGTTAACCTTTGTTTGCTCTTTGCTTTTTTTTTTATGCTTTCTGTACTTTCTATAATCTCCGTCTATGTTACTAAGGCTGAGAATCACTTGAAAACACCATCCCCAAGCCCTACTCTTGCATTATCTGAGTTGATGTTGTTGACGATAAAACAAGGGGTATGTTACCTGTGTATCTTAAATTTATGATATTTAAAAACACAATTTTTGGATAGTTCATTTGTCTACAACAACAAAGTGTAATCCCACGAGAATGCAGGCTCAAACAAGAAAAATGGAATTGTATAAGATGAATTGGCTATGACTTTGAACATTTATGTGTGCAAAAGGGAACCTTACTAGTCCATTTTTCAACTCCCAACAAGAACGAGAAACGAAGAGACGAGAGCCTTCAACACTGGCTCCTATATACGACTCCGAATCAAATAGTTTCGATCCCTAGTCTCCCGCCACTCCAACACCCATAAAAATTTCTCTATGTTGGAAACTTATATCAGATGTGGCTCGGTTTTTTAACTCTCACAAGTCAATAACCGTGCGGCTTCCAGGTGTACAAATTTGAACTCTCACAAGTTGATACAATACTTAACACTGCAAGTCAAACATAAATATGTGCACACAATTCACTCAAAGTACCTGTCAAGCTCCTCGTCCATAAGCTAAAGGGGACACACTTTACACAATTTGAGGGTGTGTACAAACCGTGTCCCTACTTGGATAGTAGAGGGGAACATGAGATGCCATAAACATTAATTAGGTGCCTCATATAACACATTGAACATATATAGAAGAAACTCAATTAGCACGGTTCATAAAGCAAGTCTGCCCGGCAGAGAAATTTACAAACGTGACACCAATCAATAAGTTCAAAAACAAGACACGTCGCCAAAGGGAGGGGGATAAAGAGTCTTATCCACAACCCGTTGCGGTAGGAAAAATAATACTGTGATTCAAAGTCCAACCAACAAACCACTCAAAATACTAGAAAATAAAAAGGAAAAAAATAAATAGATAAGCATTATATTAGTTGAACCATCCACCCCATCAAAGTTTTAGGTCTTCATTCCAAATTGTCAAGCATGTAGAACCTAGAAAGTTTTATATTGGGAAGGGAGGAAAGGAAAGAAAAGAGTCATTACTTGGCCATCATAACCTTGACAAACTCCTCGTAGTTGATCTGCCCATCACCGTCGACGTCGGCCTCTCGAATCATCTCGTCAACTTCCTCATCTGTAAGCTTTTCCCCGAGATTAGTCATCACGTGGCGTAGCTCAGCAGCGGAGATGAAACCGTTCTGGTCCTTGTCGAAAACCCTGAATGCCTCCTTCAGCTCCTCCTCAGAATCGGTGTCTTTCATCTTCCTCGCCATTAGATTTAAAAATTCTGGGAAGTCAATAGTTCCATTACCATCAGCATCTACCTCATTTATCATATCCTGGAGCTCAGCTTCAGTTGGGTTTTGTCCCAATGACCTCATAACTGTCCCAAGCTCCTTCGTGGTGATGCAACCTGTATAATAATACCACAATCTTTCATTTTTGAAGATTTGCACAGAAAAATGTTTGTCCTGTATGTAGTATATGTATGAACTATGAAGTAATCAAATCCTAGCATGCCAATTGAAATGCATAAGAGAACTCTGAAAGAAGCAGAATTCAGTGCTATAAAATTGTTAATTAGGCAGTTAGACAAACTATGATCATTAATTAAATAAAAATTGTATTGCATCTTAGTACGAAAATAAATTCATTAGATTTACCTTGTAGAAAACTTCGAAAAGTTTATTTCATTGTATTGATATGCAATGCAAATTTAATGTAATGGATCATTTAAGTTTGCCTAGTTTGACATGGAAAATCCAAACTAGACTAATACTCTGGGACAAAGGGAGTAGAGTTAAAATGAGGGTAGAATGGGTTCTTTAACTTCAGCCATATCATACATAAAAAAGTAATTCTTTTAATGCTCTTTTATAATTACTTATTGAACCAGCTTTTATATTAGGAAGTGTTGATGAAAAACCTAGCTGAAAAAGGCCAATAAGCCAAAAGAACACATCACAGAAAGGTCTCTCTAAGAAAAAATCTCAACAAAAGATGTCATTTTCATGAAACATATGGACTGGTGCCAAACGGGTCTCTCTACCAAAATGTTGTCAGAAAATAAACATGTGATGAATATGCCATCTTGCAAAAAACTGTTTAGACTTTAGATATTTTTTAAAAAAGATTTTTAGATTGTTTATAAATAAAAAATTAAATTCAATTATACAGATTTGGAAAAGACATGATGCTGTGAGAGAATAGAATCTGATCTGGAATATATAAACAGTGTGTATTTTTATTGTGGAACTGCTGTCCAGAACTATGTGTCCATACATATAAATAGGGGACTAAACAACACAACCATTACAAATAGACACAACAGTTTCTAACCAACACATCTGTTGGAAACTGTCATAAAACTGCCTGCCTAACTGTCTCTCTCTTTTTATTTATTTTTTAAATTTAAACTTAATCCTGGACTGGAATTAACCAACATGCTGCACCTAAGAAACTACCTCTGCATCGAACACCAAAGAGAGGTGTATCACTCATGTAAATCGACCTGACCAATAATATGTGTTGAGAAGTGATGATGAATGTTTGTTAGAATGAGTAGAAGAGTGATATTGGAACTCCCTCTCAGATGGGCCTACGCTATTAGTAATAAACCCCTTCATGCAATCTTCATAGATGAGATCTACTCCCTTCTATCAAAGATGAAGTTTGATGATGCTTTCTGATTAAAGATGACATTACAATATTGTATTTGTAAATGACTCCAGAATGGAGAGTTTACTGTTACACTAGATCAATAAAATTGAAATTATGATAATAAATAAATAAAAGTAAAGCCAAATACCTAGAGAGTAAATTTATGACTTATGAGAACTCAAAATAATGACCAAATTGGTGTGAAGTCGAATGAGGTAAAGTTACTAAAAGGAGAGTATTTCAAGTATTTGTGATCTACTTTACAATTACGGTAAATTATTCATTAATATGTGACTTGTTGATCAATGCAGGTCTCCTAAAATAGCTAAGAACTACAGGATTCTTGTATCACCCCAAATCCCAATATGCCTCCAGGAGAGGAAAAATCAATAAAACCTTCTTCTATGTATTGAAAAGAGCAAATAAAGAAAATGAGCTTATACAAAATATGTTTCTACATGTGACGGATATAGGATGTCACTAGATTCAGATCCAGGCAAAGATAGATTCAGATCTAGGCAAAGACAGAAAATGAATTAAAGATGAGGGAGAACTTGTACTAGAGAGATCCAAGAATACTTAAAAAGAAAAAGATAAGGGAACCGATATATATGTTATATCTCTTGAGAAAATTGCTCCTTGAAGCAATTCTATCATGCAATCATAAGCACAAGAATACCATGCAAGCATTTGCTAACAGACACATATATGGTCAATAATCAGAACCCAATCATTCACTATATGAAAATTATGTGCTCAACAACCACAAATGAGTTTCTCACTATGAACACAGTCATTACACATCAAAGAAAACTCATTACACAACCTAAGACTTTTATGCTCACTAACTCAAAAAGAACTGCTCATTAACTCATAGTGTATATGCAATAATGGGGTATCTAAGGCTGTAAGATAAAAAAATTTAGCTACCCTTGAAATGAATGTTGGAACACGAAACTTCAAAACAAATCAATGAAAGATACTCTGTATATAAATTGACGTTTGAGCATTGCTGCACGTGCCGCATGGCATTCATTTAAAGAAAGAGGGAGATCAAGAATCAAGGAAAATACCAAAATAGTTGGTAGATTACCTCATTCCCCCAATAACAACCTTCTAATCAAGATTTTCTTCCTTAGCTAAAATGTTCATACCACTCCTAACGCCCAAGTCATTAACTACTTTGAGATTAAAACAAAAAATGGTAAAAAAAAATTGCAAATACATCATTGATCTCAGAAGAATCAAGTTTTTTGATTTGAGCATGGAAAATACAACAGCATACGGTTACAAATACAAGTCGTATGAAAACAAAAATGAGCTCCCAGCCTTATCTCAATCATCATACACATTGAACAAAATCATGTGTTAATTATGAAGAGAAAAAAATGAACTATCGGAAAATGACGCATATTTGCAAGATAGAAATGTAAAAATCGACCAGATCTGTGCAACAAAGAAACGTATGGAACAAGCACGCATAAGGCGCAGAAATATAAAGAAGCCAGAGAAGAAGCAAACCATCGCCGTCCTTGTCGAAGAGACTGAACGCCTCCTTGAACTCGGAGATCTGTTCGTCGGTGAGCTGATCCGCCATTTCTGCTACTTTTTGCTCTACGAAATGATCTGAAAGAAGTCGTCTAGAGAGAGAGAGGAAGTCAGAGGTGAATGTTGCGAGAAAGAGACTGTTACGGAATGTGGAGATGGATCGAATCGAGAGGTTTGTGTCGCGCCACGCCTCCTAACTTTATTGCAATCTAAGCCGTTCGCTTCTCTATTGCCCCGTGGCCGGTTCATCCGCCTTGCCCCACCTCAATGGCTATCTTCATTTGGAAATGTTTCAGTAAGGCTAAGCATTTGTCAAAAATAAATAAATAAATAAAATAAGGGTAAGCAAAAACCGAAACAATTTCGAACTTTCAGTAAAGTCGAGAAAACTAAATTGAAAAATACAGAGTATCATACTGATAAAACACCTCAAAAAATTGAACCGTAGCAAATCGAATGATCAGATCTGTATTTGGGAACAGTACGAGTAACTTCTCATATCGAGAATCCCAAATTGAATGTATATACTGATATATTTTAAAATATAATAATAATTTCATTTTTTTATTGAATAATAAGTTTAATTTGAAAAAATTATTCAAATTTTATTATGTGTAAGTAGTAATTTTATTCGAGTTATTTTTTTTAAAGATGAACTTAAACATATTAACAAACATTCGAAATAATATTTTGTCAACATATGTTCTTTTTAGTTTGAGAATTATAAAGTAAGTTTCGTAAGCAATTCTTACATTTAATTATTCAGATTTTAGTTTCTCGTGTTTCTTGATTTAAATATAGTTTTGATTTCTCAAAAAAGGAAAATTTTTACATTTTAAAGTGTAAATTAGATATGTATTCATCTCGATTTTTACCAAAATCTATTTTGAATCATAAAAAATCTAAATCTCATGATCAAGACAAATACAAAATAAAATCTCATACCAAATTGATATATTTCGTATTGTACCGATACAAGCTAAATATCGTACGATGTTCACCCTTAGAGATAAGAGTCCTTTACATTATCATCCCAAAGTAAGTTTGTCTAGAATAATTTTTTAAATCAAATTGAATAGATTTTGGACATAAAATAAATAAAAATGGCTCTTTTTCAATAAAAATATAAACTAAAAATAAAGTTTACTATGTATATTGTATTTTTTTGAACCACAACACACTTCTATTAATTACCATCAAAATATGCAAGGAAGAGTTACAACAATGTCTACACCAAAACTACATAAAAAGAGATGAAACCGTACGATTTATCTTGTTGTTTATATAACAATTAAGATTGAATCCAGTGTTATCAATACATCCTTCTTCTTTGATGAACTCTTGAGAATGAAGTTTTTTGTTTCCTTGCATTTCAGGCAGGTTAAAGAACTACAGTCCACGCTGCCCACCAAATAGCTTTATGTCTCCTACTACTTGCCTTTTTGAGCTTTCACAAAAATATTGGTGTGTTGCAGCTTGTATGCTGCATCCTAGTGGCGCCATGATATTCTTGAACACTTTTTGGAAATAGGCACATCCCCAAACACACATGATTACAATCTTCTGTTCCTCTCCCACATAAGAGGCAATCCATGCTAATGTGTAGAAATTTGCTTAGCCACTTCCTAGTTTGGATTTTGTCCTTTAAAAGTAACCAGACATTGATTTGATGTTTGGGTATAGACAGCGGGTAAAATTCACAAATGGTACCTGAACTTTAGCTGGAATTTCGAAGTAGTACCTGAACTTCAAATCCTTTCACAAAAATCCCTGAACTTACACAATCCTTTCACTAATGAGCCATTAGCCCGTTTCTAGCTTAACTTCCGGTCATTAGGGCCAAATTCGAATTTTATATATTTTAAAATTTTCAATTTGACCCCATTTCTTCTTTTCTTTTCTTCCACGCCCCGCCGCCGCCGCCCGCCGGTCAAAGTCGCCGGAAAATGAACTTTTTCCGATTCCGGCGGGACCA